TGAACCCTTTTCTGCTGACATTGCATTTAGCAAGACCCTGGTCTTTGCTGGACACTTTTAGTTAAAACTGCTGCAGGTGTATCTTAGTGACAATCCCAGAGACTTAATGGTATTCGTAAACATTATCTTCCAGTGATAGCGTATTGCACCAAGAGCAATTTGATTTTTACTGGTACAGTATATATTACAAGTACAGTATTTATGTACAGTTGCAGAAATGTGTTCCTACTCCCCCTGATGTAACCCATGTCTCCAAACAGCCAACTTATACTACATGAGCCGACAATATATAAAACCTATCCACCAATCACATCCATCATTACATGACAAATACCTAATCATTTATAAATAGTGATACTACTGTGATGTTGCTGTTTGGAGACACAGGTTACCACAAGGGGTGTAGGAACACATTTCCACAACTGTACAAAGAATAGCATCTTCCACATGCATAGCATCCTCTGGGTAATGAGACACGTTCAACAACACTTATTCCCCTGTACAGTGGTCCCTCAGTTAACGAACACAATTCATTCAACAGAGTCATTCGTTAACCAAAAATTTCGTAAACCGAATCCATTGTTTCAATGGGATATTGGGTACCATATATCTCGGCTTATAAGACGGAATTTGAACATTAAAAAAATCTGCCCAAAGTTAGGGGGTCGTCTAAACCACCAAGTATAAAATTCTTACCTCTTAAATATTGTGGTTTAGTGTGTACGGAGTGGTGATGGAAACATCGTAAGCCACTCACAAGGTCTTACCACTAATTATTTTATACTGAAACTTACGTTTGGCAAGCTGGATTCAAATTAAGATTACCGGTATAATAAAATAATAAAAATGTATTATAAACCTGTCTAACATACCGTAAAAGAGAATTATACCCCTGTAATAAACACAGCTATCATCACACACCCCTCCCCACGCCCCCCCCTCCCCCCCATTTGCCAGTGAGGAGACAAGAAAGGAAAAGTGACCGCGAGATTGGGCTATTTTTAGCCGTGGAGGTGGTCAGTAATGCATATCGGTATATTTACTGATAATAATACTTCTCCTATAAATAATTAATTTAAAATTTATTTTTTTACAAGGAATATTCAGTAAATGACTGCATTAATTCTTGAAACTACGGACAGTTAAATACAGACGCTTAAGTGACGTCACTAGTGTTTACACTACACCAGCTGGTAACATTTGATGCCATTACTTGAAGTGAACTGGTCTTATTTTAAGTAACTAACCATTAAATAAACAAAGAAATATTCTTCAAGGACAATATCTGTCAATCAAAATACTCGGCCCTAGCTGGGTCCGTCCCTCCCTCCCCCCCACCCCGCACCTTCCCTCCCTACCAGAGAAGCTTTGGGAGAAAATAGTAATTTACATTTTTAGTAATAAATAATAACTCAGACTAAAGTTAGGATAATATACAGTGACCCCTCGTTTAACGAACACCTCGGTTTACGTAATTTCGATTAACGAACTGCCTTCCATAAGGATCTTCAATTCGGTTAACGAAAAAAAATTCGATTAACGAAGTTCTTACGAACCAACCTCAACATGTTTTCGCTTGCACTGACCGGGCAACCAGCTTTAGTATCAGCCCGCCAATACATTAATCGGTTCTAGGGCTTAAATTCCTTACTATTTTAGTAAATATCAAGAAGTTTATACTATTCAATAATTTTAAAAGTTTAATATTCAATTTTTAGTCATTTTAACAATTATTGAACATAATTGAAGGTAAAGTGACTAGTTTAATGTGGCATCCAGCCTCTTAACACAGCAAACAGGAGTTAGTCTCTCTCTGTTTTCACTGGAGGTAACATCTTGCTTGAGACTCTCTTCAACTAAACGCTTTTTTTCTGTGTTTCCAAGCAAATTATTGGTCATTTTGAAATATATTTTACATATTGACAATATATAATGCAGTGCAGTGTTGATTTAAAGAAAATAATCTTGAATTACACCAAGAGAGCTAAAATTTTATGGGTGAAATGGCGCCATGGGGTGACTTCTCTTCCACTCCAATGCCTTCTCTTCTTCCTTCTCCTCCACCCCCATTCTAAATCCCATCATCATCATCATCATCCAAGAGCCTTCTACATACACACCTCAAAGTAAGTGAACTTTTCTACCATTTTTGTTGAATTTAGGACATTTTCGGTGAGCTGGAACCAATTACCCAAAAACCCATTGAAACAATGGTTTCGGTTAACGAACGACCTTCTGGAACGGATTGAGTTCGTTAACAGAGGGGTCACTGTAATTGACATTTCTGGATTCCTTGCAGGTCAGGGAATATTTTGAATGTAAACTTCATATATTTTGCACAAAAGATAAAATACACCTAGACTCCGACTTACGACTACGTGGACTTACGACCGTCGGGACTTACGACCGCCTCAGATATAGATAAAAAAAAATTTAAATGACACGCATTTTCTATACCGAAACGTTTCCAGTTAATGTAGTCTCCATGTATAATTAGAAAATTATGGGGGCCCCATGTGCATGCAGCTGACTACATTAAAGGTTAAGTGCTCAGTCACACTGTATCCATTCCTTATTATTTATTACTTTCACTGTACTGTATCCATTCATCATTATTCATTACTTTTACTGTACTGTATTTCATTGTAGATTTTTTATTAAAAAAAATTTTTTTTTTATCTATGTCGGACTTACGACCATGTCGGACTTACGACCTGGATTTGGGTCCCTAACCCCGTCGTAAGTCGGGGTTCAGGTGTATATTGCTTTGTGTAAACCAAATTATTACATTAGATCTAAAATTTGTATAGTGAGTTCTGCTATAACGCGTGTTTTGACAACGCGAATTGGCTCGAACGCGATTTATGAATTGAGGAACGATATTTGTAAAACGCGAACTCGTTTGCTCTAACGCGATTCCACTCGAACGGTTGTTGTGGCTTCAGTTCACGTTCGACATCACATGTTCAATTGAGTTGTGTGTTTTGTTTGTGAACAATTGCAGAAATAATGTATGTAATATTTATGTATACAGTATACCTATATATTATAAGTAAATTGTAAAATTTTACATAAAAGAGAAAATCAAATTACATAGCGTTTTACACCCGCGCTCTCTTTACATCACACACAGTGTTTACAGTTCACGTTCGACATCACATATTCAATTGATTTATGTGTTTTGTTTGTGAAGAATTGCAGAAATAATTTATGTAATATTTATGTATACAGTAAACCACTCACAAGGTCCTACAGTACCACTAATTATTTTATACTGAAACTTACGTTTGGGAAGCTGGATTAAAATGAAGATTACCGGTATATTAAAATAATAAAAATGTATTATAAACCAGTCTAACATACCGTAATAAACACAGCTGCTATTATCATCCCCCCCCCCCACCCCCATTTGCCAGTGACAAGAAAGGGAAAGTGACCTTGACTGTGACCGCCTGTGGCTATTTTTAGCCATCCTTGTGTTCGGAGGTGGTCAGTAATGCATATCTGTATATTTACTGATCATAATATTTATCTCCTATAAATACAGTAATTCATTTAAAATTTATTTTTTTGCAAAGAATATTCAGTAAATGACTGCATTAATTCTTGAAACTACCTACAGTGGTAAATTTAGGATATAAATAATGAACAGAAGTCACGTCATGGATTCGGAGTTTGGTCCTTAACGATCACCATAAATGTAGCCTCCCTTTTTCGAGAAACACGTATATAAATTAAAGAAAATACTTGCAGTATATTTAATATATTACAGTATATTATATATAAATAAATAAACAAATAAATTAAAATTCCCTTATCATCCTGTGTCATATACAGAAATACTTGAGTCCCTGAGCGAGTACACAAAAAGAAAACGGAGGACTAAGACATCCTGAAGTGGATAGAGAACGGACATCTCTACTGGGGGACTCAAACGTTTCTTATGTTTTGTGGGCGCTCTAGCATAATATGAATAATATGTAAATTACAATTTACTTATACAGGTATATATATATATATGTAAATTGTAAAAATTTAAATAAAAGAAAAACTAAATACGTAGCGTTTAAAGTGTACTGTACAGTGCTGTCGCTTGGCGCGGGGTTATGCAGTGTTTACAGTTCAAGTTTGACATCACATGTTCAATTGATTTATGTGTTTTGTTTGTGAACAATTGCAGAAATAATTTATGTAATATTTATGTATACAGTATACCTGTACAGTATATATAAAATGTAAAATTTTAACTAAGAGAGAAAAACAAAATATGTAGCGTTTTAGACCTGCGCTCTCTTTACTCCACACGTTCACTTTGAAAGACGTGAGAAATTTTTAAGCGTCCTCAGTGCTTTCTGATTTACTGTTTCTCCAATTTTGTGACTATGGAAAAGAAGAATATCTCCGGGAAGCATTCTGGTGATCGCATTTCCGGTGGTGATCGTAAAAGAAAGGCTATAACACTTGAAGGCAAGCTTGATGTTGTCAAGCGTTTTGAAAATAAGGAAAGAACATGTGATATTGTGCGTGCAACGGGAATAAAGGAGTCTACTTTGCGCACCATTAGAGCCAATGCAGCAAAGATTAAAGCAAGCTGAGTTGCTGGAAAAACCTTGAGAGCTAGCAAAAGTGTGAGATCACGGCCAAAGGAACTTGAGGAGATGGAATGGCTTCTAAGTGTTTGGATAGAAGATCAAACGAAAAAGCGATCTGGGACCAGCTTCCTCACCATTAAAGAGAAAGCCTTATCAATATATGAGGACCTAAAGAAAAAAGCTGAAAATCCTGCTGATGTGGTTGCCTTTAGTGCTAGTAGTGGATGGTTTTCTGGTTTTAAGAACCGCTATGCTTTTCATAATGTAAAGTTATGTGGTGAAGCCACAAGTGCCGACAAAGCAAGTGCCCGGGCATTTCCTCCCACTGTAAAGAAATTGATTCAGGAAGAAGGCTACACCTTAGACCAAATTTTTAATTTGGATGAAACAGGTTTATACTGGAAGCGCATGCCAACAAGAACTTACATTTCCAAGAATGAAGCACATGCTCCAGGCTTTAAGGCTGCGAAGGACCGTGTGACTGTGACAGTGTTGTTGGGTGCAAATGCTAGTGGAGACTTAAAGCTTAAGCCTGTGTTGGTGTATCACTCTGTCAACCCGCGAGCTTTAAAGGGTTACATAAAGTCTAATCTAGGTATTCACTTTTGGTCAAGCAAAAAAGGTTGGATGACGGGACAAATTTTTTCTGACCTTCTTGTGGATGTTTTTGAAAATGTGTTTAAAAAATATTGCAAGAAGAAGAATATAGATTTTAAGATTCTCCTCATTTTAGATAATGCGCCAAGCCACCCTCCCACTGTTGCTGAGCTTTCTGACAATATCAAAGTGCTCTTTCTACCTCCAAATACAACATCTCTCCTTCAACCAATGGACCAAGGAGTAATAGCAGCCTTCAAAGCCTATGATTTGAGGCGTACATTTAAGAAACTTATTGAAGCTACTGAGGAAGGAAATGATAAGGCCAGTGTTCTTCAGTTTTGGAAAAAATTCAACATCAAGCATGCAATTGACATCATTGTGGAGGCCTGGGGTGAAGTAAGTAAGGACTGCTTGAGTGGAGTTTGGCGGAAGCTTCTCCCAGATTTAATTCATGATTTTACAGGCTTTGATGCATCAGAGGAGCTCCCAAAAATTAAAGAAAATTGTGTTTCTCTTGCAAAGCAAGTTGGCTTTGCTGAAGTGGAAAGCGCTGATGTTGAAGAACTGCTCGAGTCCCACTGTGAAGACCTCTCTACAGAAGATCTACAACAACTTGTTGATTCTGGGAAAATAGAAGATGCCGAAGATGAAGAAGTCCAGGATGCAAAACCAAGAGAGCTTCCCACTTCCGTTTTGTCTTCTATCCTGAGGGAAGTTGATACGCAGTTGCAGCGCTTGGAAGACAATGACTACAATGCAGAAAGGAGCAGGATTGCAGTTCGTGGTGTTAAATCTTTTTTGGCACCTTATGAACAGCTTCTTTGTGAAAGAAGAAAGACGGCAAAACAGCAAACATTAGACGTCTTTTTTAAGTCAACCCCCAAGAAGCAGACTGAAGACACTGAACCACAGCCATCCACTTCTGGAATTAGACGTTTTTTTCTTCCCTCCCATGCAACCAAAACTGCACCTGATGATGATGATACTGATGAAGATACTGATGATGATGATGACCATGACAATTGTCAAATCCTGTCTGCATGACTCCTCAACCTCAACATTAACCTTCTCCCCCATCAAGTTAAATTCATATTTTTTCAAGGTAAAGTGTAACATTTACTGTATGATTTCATTATTAGATATGAATGTAACATTTATTTAGACTGTGCTATCCTTTGTGTTAGGCTAACTACGAAATTTTTTTTCGATTTGGAGTAATCTGCACCTAACCCTATTTTCTCCATAAGCCCTGTTATTTCTATTACGCGATTTTCTATAACACGATATTTTACAAGAACACAATTATCGCGTTATAGCAGAACTACCTGTATGTCTAATGCAAAATCCATGATGTTTATATTCAAAATGATCATCATATTGTAAGAATTCCAGCAATGTAAATTATATTCTGGCCGGGTAATTTGTATGAATTTTATGAGCTAAATAAAAAAAAAAAAATTATACTTCACGCGTATATGAGTAGATGCACCGCGGAAAGTGAGAGTCCGGTTCTAGCAAGGTACCGCGTAAATGAGAAATCGCGGAAAGTGAAACCGTGTAAAGCGGGGTAATACTGTATATAAATTAAAGAAAATACTTGCAGTGTGTTTAATGTATTACAGTATATTATAAATAAATAAATAAACAAATAAATTGGCAAATCTATTTCAAGTAAATGGAAATATTTTACTCACACCAACATTAGTTCCAGTTAAATAACTGACGCTTAAGGGAGTCACTAGTGTACACCAGCCGGTAAAATTTTATGCCAATACTTGAAGTGAATTGGCATTATTTTAAATGACCAACCATAAATAAATGGAAAAAAGATCAGAGGTGAGAAACATCATATTGTATGTATGTTGTGTTGTCAAAGGAAGAGAAACAATTGAAACTCTGCAATTGTGTGTAAATGAAGCAGAAAGATAAATCAGCAACCTAAGACTTGGTCACAATTTTCGTGATGCCATATGGAAGTAGGGTCTACCATTAGACAATACTGTACTTTGTGCTTCCAATATCTTCCCAGGCAGTAGAATCTCCCTGTTTGGTAGCTGCCTAAAACTTTTAGTAATATTACTTTGATACAACATGATAAATTAGACAAACAATGAAAATAAACAAACAAAAGTTATTTACCAAGACCTCTCTCAGAACAGAGGGATGGAGGGGGAGGGGAGATAAGACAGCTATTTATAGCCTGTCTTTGTGCAGGAAGTCGACCACACTAGAAATAATTCATTTAAAATTTATATTTTTTACATAGAATATTCAGTACATGACTGCGATTATAAAATATTGTGAATATATATATATATATATATATATATATATATATATATATATATATATATATATATATATATATATATATATATATATATATATATATATATATATATATATATATATATTTGTGTAATAAATGTATGTAGTAAGTATGTACAGTAATCTTTTTCACTCAAATCCTAATGAAACACTATTGAATTAGAATACTGTAGCTGGTTGAAGCAAGCTTATAAATTAAAGAAAATACTTGCAGTGTGTTTAATATATTACAGTATGTTATAAATAAATAAATAAATAAACAAATAAATCGGTAAATCCATTTCAAGTAAATGAAACAATTGTATTCGACACCGACATTAGTTCAAGTTAAATAACAGACTTTTAAGTGAGTCACTAGTGTTTACACTACACCAACCTGTAACATTTGATGCCATTACTTGAAGTGAATTGGCCTTATTTTAAAAAACCAAGGATGTGTAAACAGCACTGGTCAATGGGATGGTTGGTAAAGGACTACTGGGTCAGTAAGCTCCCAATGGTCACATTTGGGGTACCGGTCTTATACAGCGAATAGGGCTCAAAAGCTACTTTTTAAATGGAAATTTTTGGGGCCGTCTTATACACCCCGTCGCCTTGTAGGCCGAGATACTCGGTACCCATTTTTAAATGCGTCTGGATTCTCTTGAATAGCGGAATTTACGTGAGGCGTCGAGAGCATCAAAGATAAGCGTTTGTTTTACGCCATGTTGTTGTAGTAGTTGTTACGCTCCACCTCACTCTCACTCTCACTGCGCTCCGTGGAATACAGCGCTGCACCCACTTGTGAGATTTTCGCCTCTATAACCAGTGGTTGTTAGGGTCGGTGGTCAATAATGGCTTGGGGAGGTGGTAGAGGGAGTGATTTGCTGCCTGAACGCCCGGGAACTTTTAAAGTGAATGAGTAAAAAGACCCCAAAGCTAAGAGACAAAGCCACAAGAAGTGTGCCTACTCGGTCAAGGATAAAGAGCAGATTGTTGAACTCATTGAAAGTGGTGCACGGAACATTGATATTGTGAGGAAATTGAACTGTCCCGAGTCTACAGTGCGAAATATTAAGAGGAACTTAGAGGAGACCAAGAAGAGTATTGCGCTGGCTAAGAAATATTTCAGTAGTGATGGAAATGTGAGGCGAGCTATGAATGATAAAAGTGATAGAAAGTTGATGAAGACATTGATGACATTGGGGAAATGCCTGAAGATTTTGACTTTGCGGGGTTTGATGAAGTGTTAGCGGAAGTGGGTGAACCGGGTGCGAGAGGCCAGCGTGGGGACGGGGACGGAGACGGGGCCAGGAAAGTGGGCGGAGGCTCGACGCAGTAGCCTCCATGCCCCAGCCTCGGAACAATCATCACACCAAGCACCTCAAAAACTCCCCCAAGATAAGTGTTTATACAGGTTGTACCTCTCCTAGTCCAACAACCTCAGGACCTGACCAGTGCCGGACCATGGAAATTCACCCTTTTCCTGGATAGATAGTGACTTGTGCTTATGCTTGGAAGCACTAGCATCACTTTCTCTGCATCATGGTCTCTTTGAAGACATATTGAAGGGTTAAATGTTGTATAGTAGCTTCTCAAATTTCGCGAGTTTTTAATTCTTAACGTATTTTATTGGAACACACACAAAAATAAATAAATAAAAATTTTGACGGCGGAAACTTGAATTTCGACGGGTTTGAACGGCCAGCCAACGTGCAGACGACGTGCATAATCGTGTAAACAGCGTCATTTCTCTTATGTACAAAAGATTCATTATTGTTTATTACTGAATGACTTTTTTATTGAATTAATGTTTATGTGTGCAAAATGAGCAATACAACTCATTAATAATATGTAGAATATTAAAACACACGAGGAAATGACACAGCATTGTTTTCGTTGATTACAAAACCAGTGACTGACCGGTTCTACATATAAAACTGACGAAAATAAGACCTTGGCTGTAGCTGTAGTAAAATTAATATGGTTGTTTTAACTAATGTTAATTAATGTTAATAAATGGAACAATAGAAGTAGCTAACGATAATGGTAAAGAAAAAAGAGAGAGCGCGTATGTAAGTGCGCATGCGCACACGTGAAAACATATCGTCATTACTTTACATATATATATGAAAGCAACACTTATTTACTGTTCACATATATTTTAATTGATGCTTTTGAATTTGTTTTTATTGAATTAATGTTTGTGTGTGCAAAATTAACAATACAATTTATTAATAATACGTGGAATATTAGAGGAGACGAGGCGGCTGCCGGCACTGTTTATGTTAAAGCTTACAAAACCAGTGACTGATTGGTTCTACAAATAAATCTGAAGAAGATAAGACCCTGATTTTAGCTGTAGTAAAATAAATGTAATAAAATTAATATGGTTTTTTGAAGTACAGTAGTACCCCACTTAACGCGGTCAATAAAACATACAGGGTACCGTGTTAAGTGAAAACCGCGCTAAGTGAACAACAGAACATATGGGATTAATTCCAATAGAAACTGGCCCATCCCCAAACTCCACTTTTTCCGACACAATACCCATGTTCTAGTAAAAATAACATCTTAATTTTTATGAT